TCAGTTCCTTGAGCTTAAGAAATGCTAAACGAGTTCATCCCTTTTGATTTTCTGACTCTAGCTCCTCGCACATTTCATTGTAATATTTTGCTTTATCATTCTGAGCAGCCTTTTGGAATCTTCTGTTCAGCTCTTTAGTATCTTGAATTCTTCCTTGTGCTTTGGCTTCTCTATGCTCCAGTGCAATCTTCAGAGTTTCTTCTGACATCCATTTTAGTCTTTTCTTCCTCTTCTGTCTATGTAATGATTGTTTGCATTCTTCCTGAAGATACATTTGACATCCTCCCACAACTCATCTGGTCTTCGCTCATTAGTGTTCAAGGTCTCAAACCTGTTCCTGAGATGATTCTGAAATTCACGTGGGATGAAATCAAAGTCATATTTTGGCTCCTGTGGATTCGGTCTAATTTTCCTCAGCTTCAGCTTGAACTTGCATATGAGTAGTTGGTGGTCTGTTCCACAGTCAGCTCCTGTCCTAGTTTTCACAGCTGATATTGAGCTTCTCCAGTGGTTTTTTCCGCAGATGTAATCAATCTGATTGCTATGCATACCATCAGGTGAAATCCATGTGTATAACCTGCATTTATGTCTCTTATAAAAGATATTTGCAATGAATAAGTCATTTATTGTACAAAATTCAATCATTCTATCTCCAGCTTCATTTCTGTCACCAAGCCCATATTTTCCAACTACTGATTCTTCTTCTCTGTTCCCAACTTTTGCATTCCAGTCACCCATTATTATCAATGCATCTTGATTGCATGTTCGATATCATTAATTAATTAGACTAGTCCCTTAAATATGTAATTGCTGATGAAAGAGACTGCATGGTTGTAAGCCTTTTTAAAAAATTGTTATCTGTTTTAAGACTTTTAATGTATTATCATCATTGTTTTTTAGAAAAGTTCATATCTTTGTGACCTCATCATTTTCAATATTGAAACATTAAAAATGTTGTTGTTGTTGGGTGTGGTCATGTTGACCACTACTACCTATCAACAACAGATCAACAACAAATGGGAACCTTGCCATAATGAAAAGATTCAGTAATTCTGCTCCTTTTCATTGGGATTCTCTTTTTTAGGAAAAAGAAAGTCACTTAAGACATTAGATGTGTACTTCCCTATCCAAAGTCTTGTCCATTTCTTCTCCCTTGAGTTTAGTCACTATGTGATCTTTTTCCTTGACCAGGAAATCTCAGATCCAGGATTCTAAGAAATAACAAAAATGAGCCTTTTTTGATAACTTTGTTAAAGGCTTCTGCAAACCTTCTTTGTTGAAACTCAACTAGCTACTTTTCACCCACTGTTTAGCAGACACAGAGAGAGTTGCTCACGTTTTTTTGTGAAATCTAGCTTCATCAGATTCCAGGAGTTTACGTATTGAAATACTGACATACTTTATTGACAAGTCTGTGTTACCTGTGAACTCATGTCCAGGTTTACTGGTTCATCTGTGATCCAAACCACCTGGCTCATGGCCTGCATGGGGCAGACAAGTGCTGACTGACAGATGGTTGGTCACTCAAGGCGTCCCAGACACACCTCAGAGAGGCCTGGCCATCTACTGCTGAAAAAAATCAGCCAATGAAAATCCCCAGAGCTTAGGGACACTCTGACACATGAGGGGTTGCCCCCAGTCAGAACTGATCTATACCAGCTGGGCAAGTGTTATCAGACAGTGGGTGCATGGAATCATTTGCCAAACAGTTTCACCACCGCCGTTGCATATAGCCTGCCCACAACCCTGTCATGTGTAGTAGAATTAGCGTCTATTATTAATACCCAGACTGGGGAAAACTTCTGACGAGGTCAGAAGGCACAGCGAGTGAACCCCAGAAGCCCAGGTGGGCTGAGGGTTGGGGGCCTGCTCACTGCCGTTTCCCCCACTAATACCCTGGGACTGAATATTTGTGGAAACTGCAAACGTGTGGACTCCTGGTGACGAGGGCTTGTTTTCCATTTAGTCTCCTAGAGGAGGACTCTGAGGAGGAAGGAGATTTGTGTCGCATTTGTCAGATAGCCGGGGGTTCCCCCACCAACCCCCTCCTGGAGCCTTGTGGCTGTGTGGGAAGCCTGCAGTTTGTTCATCAGGAGTGCCTGAAAAAGTGGCTGCAAGTGAAAATAACATCAGGTAGGTGGGGAAGTGAGAGTGGCAAGCGTGAGAGGACGCGTAATTAATAGGGGGCTCAGCAGTGGGGGTACAGGGCCTTGTCAACAGCGCCCACTTTTCCCTCGAGCAGAGACTCTGGGGAAATGTGGTGGAGAGCCATTATTCTGCTCACAGCCTTGGTGTATAGTCAACAGCCCCAAACGCTTCCTTTAAATTATGAGAGGAAAATGATTCCCCCTTTTCCAGTCTGATAGAAACATCTGGAACCTGAGGCCATCGAATCCTACCCCTGCTGGAGCCCTTAGCAGAGATGCCAAGATTGCCTCCCAGAAGGAAGAATAGAGGTGGGGCCTAAGGAGCTGAGCCGCAGCGGACTCTCGGCAGCCATGCCCAGCTAGCGGACAGCCAGCAATAGTACCTGGGCACAGCCTGAGACAGTGCAGAAAACAGGCAGGCAGCTCTGCTGCTTCCTCAGTGAGGGAGGAGAGAGGGTCACCTCAGAAACTGCGCACAGAGAGGAAAAGAGAGCGGGTTCCTTTATAAAGCCACTTTCGCTAAAGAGATCCCCATGTGTTGATCTTGTCATCTCTCTCTTTAACAGAGCTCATAACTGGGTGTGAAGCCCCTTCTCAATTGCCTGCGGAAGTTATAACCTAAATATAGCCACATCAGTAGGGCTGCTGTAGTTTTCTTGGCAGAGAACAGGAGGTTTCTTTAAAACATGCTTCTAGAAATGAGAGCAACGTTAAAAACAATAAAAAAAAAGGAGGGGGACATCCATGCAAAGAGTGATTTGATTCAAAAATAGCTACTCTCTCAGTGCACCATGCCACTCTGAAAAGTTTTATCGTGCAGTCAGTTCCTTCTCTTGTCTTCCGTGTTCTCCTCCTTGGTTATCACTCCGCCAGCCAGGCTGCCTAGGAGACCTCAAGCTTTGCCTTGGCCCCTTGGAGTGTTACAGTGACACTTACCAAGATGGCACCCCACTTAAACAGGAATGAGCGTGTGGGGGTGCGTGTTCATTCCCAGACGGGAGGGTACGTCCCCCAGCACGGGTGCATAGGACCACGGCCTGAGATGCTTAAATGCCCATTCTCAGGACCAGCAGTGTGCTCAGTCCTGCGGAAAGCCAAGAAGCCAGTGGACTGCGCTTGCTATGGCCCCTGTCCTGCAGTGCTTATCTTCCTAGACTTGGGCCAGTTAAGCATCGAGCACAGAAAAGGACTCCTAATGCTTGTAAATGCCAGTGCTAGTTTGGATACGTTCAGTAGGATTAGCGCCGAAGGCGCACGAGACATTCAGTAGCCTAGAGCATTACAGAGGGATCTGCCGGAGGAAAATACCAAGCAAACAAAGCACAGATAAGGGAGTATTGTGCTGCTTCACCTTTGAAAATTCTTTCTTATTTACTGTTCTTTATCTCCCCAGGGGAGAAAGATAGAAATGGGTTCTAAAATTGCCCAAGACCTGTCTTTTGCCAATAAATACAGGTAACTAATTAGTCTCTGTTTCCTAACACATAAAATAAACACCAGTACATAGTTACTCAAAATACAGAAGCTACAGCAGAGCGTCTGGACACAGCCAAATTCTACATCTTCGACCTTTTACACTAAGGAAACAGGGTAAATGTAGGGGGCAAAGGATGCTGCTATAGAATGCACACTTTAACACACACACACACACACACACACCAAAAACAACAAAGGAAGGCTTCTCGTGTTTCTTTTTCCAAATGGGGCTGAAGTCAGCTTAATCCCGGCCCTCAATACTGTTATAACTACTACTGGCCCCTGGCCCCTGTCTCCCTCCCTTTTCTCAGGTGAGAATGTCACCTGAGCAGAAGGAGTATAGGCAGACTTTTTGGCCACAAGGGAGTCCTGGTGGCGCAACAGATTCAATATTGGGATCCCATCCGAAAAGTCAGCACTTCCAACCCACCAGCTGCCCTGTGGGTGAATGACGTAGCAGGCTGTTTCTGCAAAGATTTACAACCTTGCAAATCATACTGTGTCCTAGAGGGCTGCTGTGAGTTGGGAACCAACAGCAGAGGGCTGCGGTTCTACAGTTTTGTCAATTGGCTTTTTTTAGGGAGAGGCTGACGATAGCTTCTCCCTGACTTAACACCTTGGACTTGAGTTAGATCTGCAAGGGGAGAAAATAGCCTGGACCCAGTGCTCACTCTTTTTTTTGCAAATACCTCTACATAGTGATTCCAATTTTATAAGCCATTATGGTTGCATCTAAATAGAAAACAAGACCTGTTATTTAAAAGTCATGAAAATTTCACTTACATAATAATGCTTGCGTAATAATGAAAATTCTTTCAAAGGGCATTTTTCAGAGTCCGGGCTCTAGGTCATTAAGTGAAAGTCGCTGATACTCAGAATTCATAACACACAAGGTCAGTCTGAAAACATTGCTAAGTACCAACCCAGAGAGACCCACAGTAACATGTAACTCATTCTCTAATTTAAGGAGCGGATCTCAGCGCTGTGAAAACGTGTGAAATGTGTAAGGAAGCCCTGCTGGTCGATCTGGAGGACTTAAACATGAACGAGTTCTACCAGAAGTACCAGCAGTCCTGGGTAAGAAACACTCCCGCCCACTCGGGCTCCCCAGCTGGCTAGACATACCAGGCGAGAACAAACTCACTTTCCGGAATGTAGTTGACCTTGTCTGGGGTGAATCTGAGAATGTCCGTTTAGCTCACTTTTTTTTTTTTTTTACCAACTCAGCCATTAAGTTAGAACGTTGAAGGAAAATCTTGACCATCTGGATTTGAGATCACTCTTTTGCTGTCAGGGGCAAAAGCAAGAAGCAGTGGCACAAGACGAGCAAGAAGCCTGGGAAATTCCATGACAAAATTTGCTGAAGTCATTTAAGTTTAAAGAGCCCTGACAGTGCAGAGAGTACAGTACTATCAGAAGTTTATAGGTTCGAACCCACCAGTGTCTGAAACCCAGCTCTGTATTACAAGTTGTTAAGAGTCTGAATCTCAACTTGGTGGTCTTCAACAGTTTAAGAGCAGTAACATCAAAACAGGTTCTAGGAGATGGATCCCAGTTTAAAAATTAAGTAACTTGAGAGTAATAAGGAAATGCTTTACTCAAGGCTGTTGTTGTTGTTGTTGAGTACCATCCAGTAAGAACCAACTCAAAGCTCTCCAGCGGGTTTTCAGGGACAGTAAATTGCATGGGAGTATATTGCATATCTTTGCCTCTGCAGAGCAGCTGGTAGATTTGAACCACTTAACTTTGGGTTGGCAATGCAATTCCTTACCTCTACACCATCAGAGGTCCCAGGGCTTGTGAACATGTATTAATAAAAATGCCTACCAGTATCAATACCAGTGCAAGCAGAGTGTTCCTTAGAGGCAAGGAAGGTAAAGCTACGTCTCATTTACTTTGGCCATGTTTTTAGGATGAACCAGCCCTTATAGTGAGATATCGTGCTGGTAAAAATAGAGGGTCGGCAAAAGAGAAGAAGACCCTCAAATAGACTGATACAGTGACTACTCTGTCACGACAGAGATTGTGAGACTCATGCAGAATAGGACAAGAGTCAGATCTGCTGTTCAGAGGGTCACCATGAGTGGCCATGAACTTGACAGCACTTGACAGCATCTGACCAACCTACTCCCGTTCCTAATGGGGCCTCCAAGTGGAACAACTGAACCTTTACGTACCTTTCAGTTAACCACTGAGCATGTTAGACATTATAAGTGCTTTCCCCCTTTTTAATATTTAGTGGATTAACTCTCGTGTGGCATTTGGGTTGTTCAACTCTAGGAACTGTGTCAGTTACCCTTGAAATGCAGGTGTGGGAGTGACACGTGGATACTGTGCACTTGAGATGTATGTAGCTAACTGAGCTGTGTTGGGTGAGATACGCGCCAGATTTCTACAGCTGAGTGCAAAAAAAAGGAAAGCCATAACAGTTAATCATTTCATATTAATTATATGTTGAAATAATATTGTAGATTATCATGCTGTTAGGGCTAAAAAATTTGTCATTCGAATTCATGTCACCTGCTCGTTGTTTTGTCTTACTTTCCTAATGTGAGTACTGGAAATTTTCCTATTACAAATGTGGTGACATTTGTGGCTCATATTCTATTTCTGTAGGATGACACTGGTCGAGTGCATACCAAGCTCATAATGAGCAGCCAGTAAATATTTTTCAAAGGGAAATTGCCCATCATTGCCATTGTCATTTCAGACTGACCTCTCAAACGTGATTAGAAAAAATTATTTATGGTTGTGACCGTAAAGCGCACAATTTTAAAACTATAAAATCATGGTTAATATTCAGAATGTCACTTCATTCTCAGATCATTAGCTATCTCCAGACCTTTTCTGCTTGCTTACTTCTTCTTTTTTTAAAGCAAGGCTAAGGCAAGAAGTTCTGTGTGATTCTGGGCAATTCTGCAATTGCTGGTAGACAGAAGAGACTAAAAAGAACCCCAACACCTAAAAAATTACAAGACCAGAGATTTGAACAGCTCAGTTAGCAAACTTGTTACAATGGACGTAACCCTGTTTCAGCGTTGTAGAATTACAAGATTGGCACAAAAAAAAAAAAAAAAAAGGAAAGGAAAAAAGAGAGAACTTCCTGAAAACTAAATGCAGCATTTTGGGTCCATCTGTTTTTTGAGGCCTGAGGGTCTCTCATCGCTTAGTCATAACTTCCAGACACAGAGCACTGAGATGAGAAACAGAAGCAGTTCATACCTTTGAACTCTAAGAAGGTGCGAGTCAAGATACTGAAAAGAACTGGGCCTCTGAGTGTCTCAGGTCAGGCTGCAAGAAGCCCATGGGGACATTTCAACACACAGGTCGTTTGAGGAAACGGAGCCTGTCAGGCATGCCCAGATGAGCTGGGTGCCCGGATTCTCTCAGAAGTGTGTGCACAGATCTTGTCGGAGCAGGGGCTCCCTTGCCTTGTCCAGTGTGGGCCCCTTTCGGTCTTAAGAATTTTCACTCTCTTGTGCTGCTGCCTAACTGCTGTTCCCATTTGCACCGTTCCTTTACCAGCGATATTTATAGTATTGTGCCACCAATGGCAAAAGTTCCAGTTGTAATAAAATCTTCTGCAGTCATGTAGCCAGAGGCAATCTAGCCCACTGAAAAGCATGCTGATGCTGAAGATGATCTCAACCTAAATCTTAGTTCCTTCCCCGGGGTTGCTGTTTGATGCTCTCTGGACCCCAGTTCTCTTGTCTGTAAGGAGGGAGAGGCTGGAGGAAAACCAAACTGCATGTGTGTCCCTCTGTGATGCCTGTACACAGACGACGGTTGTGAGGAAGGCCTGCCCTAGTCCAGCCACCGAGATGGACAGCCTCTTGGCACTGAAGGCAAAAGCTAACGTGTACCAGGAACCAGGCTAAGTCCGCCACTGGGCAGAGTCAACCCACCCACTGGGGCCATACCCACGTCCTTGGCCTCACTGCATCCTCCTCCAAACACGGTCCAGAAAGGACTGGGAAAGTCGTTACATTATCCAGAACAAGAAATAAGGAAGGTGTGCTCAGAAAAGGTGACGGCTGAGACCTGAGTGAAAGGAGAATGTGTAGGCAGTAAGAGAAAGCATTGAGGAGTGGTGGCGCCCTCTGGGACCAAGGACAAATGGAAGGAGCAGTTATCAGGGCTGGGGGTGGGGGTGGGTGGAGGGTGTATAGCAGAGGAGGGTCACCCAGCAGCAAGTAGTCTTCAGGAAAGGAAACTGAGAGTAGACCCCACCTCTCCCCACACCCCCCACCCTCTGGTCTCCTGCCATTGCCTCCCATTGGCCCAAACCAACAGGAAGTCAGAGGGCAAGGGAGCCTTGTTGATGCAATCCGTTGAGGTCAGCCTCCAGGGCACAGAGCAGGAGAGAAAGATCTGGAAGAGAGAATGGAAAAAACTCTAACATGGTGGTTATTCTTCCTGGAAGTAGGAAATATTTTCAATTCATTTCAGTAAGAACTTGACAGACCATGAAAGCCTTTTGAAAATGCCCTTCATTAAAATCACAGGTGGAAATGTAGACTGACAGGCCCACCCTGGCGTGAGAAGGACAGTCCCAGGCCGGACGTGCACTATTTATCTGCTGATGGAAAGCAGTGGAGGACTCACTCACTCTTCAGCAGTCCTGCCTTTTCTGGTGACCTTGTTGTGAACTGAATAGTGTCTCTCTGCTAATAGTCTGAGTTAAACTCCAAATACAAGAGAAGTATGATTTAGATGAGATAAACTTAATGTCGTTTTAAAATTCTTTTTGCATTATTAGACTACTGATGCCTAGGCCCCGTAAACCTCAAATAGTTTGGTACAGCTGGTCTGGGATGAGGCCAAATGCCCATATATAATATATAAAAGTTTATGTTATGCATATTTTGCCATAGTATAAAATATTGTGGTAAAATATGCAGAACATAGAGTTTTCACTGGCTTGGTGTGTGTGTTTCTGTGTTTCGTTTTCATTCCTTATATTTTGCCCTGATTTCCTAGAAAGTCATTAAAGTTTCCATTGCCATTTTCCTCCCTTGACTTGGTCCACAGCAACCCCAACCAATGGCATGAGGCCAGCTCTGGAAAAGGTGACTCTTTCCAGTGTTCTGATTGGCTAGTTAATGTCATTTTCTTACAAAGAATGGTATTTCCTCCACGTCACCCATCCATTTATGTGCCATCAGTTGCTTTGTTGAGGATTAGGAAGGGTTGTGGTTGTTGTTGTTGTTAGGTGTCATTGAGTATGACTCATAACGACACTGTGAACGACGGACCTAGATCCCATCCAATCCTGTGCCATCCTCGCTGCCTCTGATAGACCTGAGCCCATTCCTGCTTTCACCTTGTCAGGCCATCTCAATGAGTGTCTCCCCCTCTTTCACTGACCCTCCACCCTTCCAAGCACAGTGTCCTTTTCCAAGGAGTAGCCTCTCCTAGCAACATGTCCAAAATATGAGAGACGAAGCTTTGTCATCCTTGCCTCCAAGAAGCACTCTGGTTGTGCCTTTTCCAAGACCTTCCTGTTTGTTCTTTTGACAGTCTGTGGTGTATTCCGTGCTCTTCTCCAACACAAGGCCATCAGTTCTTCTTCTCTTGTCCTTATTCATTGTCCAGCTCTCAGATGCACAGCTCAAGAATAATTATGATCACTCCTCCTAGTAATCGCTGCATTTCCCCATGGATCTAGAGCCCTTTGGTAAGGCAGTTTGTCAGTTTATGTGGTGTGAAGCCTTTTCCTCCAGAGATTGTCATCACTCACCATAACAGGACTGCTTTGCCACATGGGCAGTGGTGATGGGTCATGGTCATTAACTTCCGCAGTGTCCACTGAGCGCACGGGGCCTTCGGCACTGTGCTGGGGCAGTGCCATGGTGCAGCACAGTCACTTCCTTCCACTGAGGAGACATGGTGAGTGATAATTGTGGTGTGGGAGGGTCAGAACGCAGATGCGTGGGCAGCTGGTGGAACAGCTGCAGAGGTCTGACCTGGTCTCAGGACAGTGAGCCCTCTGTAGGAAAGACGATGAAGACCCTCGGGGTGAATCCTGAGACAGCTGAGCCTGATGTCCCCCTCGGGATCTGACCCCAAACTAGAGG